AGATTATCTTCTGTGTCTGTGTTAATTGGTTTCCCTTTTCTTTGTTGAAGAGGGTCTGTGCAATCCTTCTGCCTAGTCCGCCATCTTGCCCCGCCTCTCCAGTAGATTTTTGACTGCGTCTCTTGGATTTTCTAGGTATAGGATCATATTATCAGCAAATAGGGATAGTTTAACTTCTTCCTTACCAATTTGGATGCCTTTGATTTTCCTCTCTTGCCTTATTGCCCTGTCTAGGACTTGCAATACAATGTTGAATAGAAGTGGTGATAGAGGGCATCCTTGTCTGGTTCCTGTTCTCAAGAGGAATGGTTTCAGTGTCTTTCCATTGAGAATGTTGGCTGTTGGTTTTGCATAGATGCCCTCTATTATGTCGAGGAATGTCCCTTCTATTCCTATTCTGCTGAGAGCTTTGATCAGGAATGAGTGATGGATTTTATCAAATGTCTTTTCTGCATCAATTGATATGATCATGTACTTTTTCTTTATTTATGTGGTGGATGACGTTGATTGTTTTTTTAATGTTGAACCATCATTGACAGGTGCCCTCTTTAACCCATTTAAATCTCCACACTTAATGTTTGGTCATTTCTTCAAACATACTCTCTTAGGTATTAAAATACAGAAACCCAGAAGGGAGAAGGAATTTGCCCAAAGTGAAAAAGCAACAACAATAGTTAACCTTTATATAGTTATATCATGTTTGGTGAAGTAGAGGGCCAACAAAAATAAGGGAAACCTTCAATGAAACGGACTGACGTAATAACCGCAATTGTAGACTACGCATACCAACAATCATGAAGATGGTGCAGAAAGGCAACATTTTGTTTTGTTATACATAAGGTCATCATAAATTGAAGCTGTCTCCATGGCAGCTAACCATGTTCCAATCATTGTTCTAAGTACTTTATGTAGGTAACCTTCTTCTTTCTTTTTTTTTTTTTTTTTAATTATTACAATAATCTTATGAGATAGGTAGTATTACCGCCCCCTCTTTTTTATGGATGAGAAAACAGAGACATAGAAAAGTTAAATAACTTGCCCAAGGACACAGTCAGTGACCAAACAGGGTTTACTCTTAACCCTTATGCTAAACTGCCAAGTTAGTAACAGGGCTGAAATAAGGAGTAACATTTAATTCCCAGACCATGGCACTTTCTTGGTGAATATGTTTGTGCTTGGGTTAAGCTGCAAACAGAAGAACAGGGACTGTCTTAACATCTGCCACAGTGCCTAGTAGTGGTGCAAGCACGCAGTAGGTGCTCAATAAATAGTTGTCCATTTTTAAATTGGATTATTTATCCAATTTGGGGGCGGGAATGGATAAGAAAACAACCAAATAGACAACAATCAAACAAACAAGAACATTCGCTTGCAGGTCTCACGTCACTACTAGATAGCCCTTCCTCTCCCTTCCTCCTTCCTTCCCCACCACTTGCATGAAGGACCCTGCAAGCTCCTTTTCTGAACGTCCTTGCCAAGCTCCAGCTTTGCGCTCCGTCCTCCCAGCCACCAGGTGCCCCCAGACCCCCAGCTCCTCCTCCTATGCCGTCACTGCCTTTTCCTCTCCCCTCTTTCCGCTGCTTCCTGTTCCCGGGATCCCGGCCCTGAGCTGTGGGCACCAAGGAGCCCTAGGCTTCTTGGAGTGTTAAGCCAGGTAACAGCGCAGCGCGAATCGCTCAGCCGGGCCGGCTCTGGCGGGTCGAACGGCGGGCGGAGGTGGGCACAAGGTCCGCCCCCCGGACACTGGTGTCACGGCCCACTGGTGGGGAAAGAGGCGGGGAGATGGTCTGCTCCGGCCTCTGAAGGGAAGGGGGCATACTCCTGCCTTTAGACGCTGGAGGGTTTTCCGCGTCAGGCTCCGAGCGCCGGGCCTGATGCCGGGATAACAGCCTTGTTCGGATGCTCCGGAGCCAGGCGTGGCCTACAGTGTGTGGGGCACTTCCTAGTGAGAGGCGATTGTGGTACCTTTGAGGCACCCAAGGTTGTAGCTGGCTGCCAGCCCCGCCTGCTTTGAGGCTAACTGCCAGGTGGGCCCGCCCAGTGCTCCTCCTCCCAAATCTGGACCAGGAATGGGATAAGCAAGGAGCGGAGCCTTGGAATTTTGAGGTGGAATGGCCATCTAAATGCCTTTCCATTCTTTTACACAAAGGGAAGCCAAAACCCAGAGATGCAGTGGCTTTCCCAAGGTCACAGAGTTTTATCTGTCATTTACAAATTTCTTTTATGCAGGTGTTGTAAATGGTTACTGTTTCTTCTGTTCTGCCAGGGAATTAGGATTCAGAGAAGAGTACTCTAAAAATACTAATCGGCATATCCAAATGAGCTGATCCGCATTACTGGCCCGTGACCCAGGCCTTTAAAGGGAAACATGGGAGGATAATTCTTTTCATTCTTGGTTAATTTGCATTTATGGCCCTTTTTTTGGAAATTGGCCTTGATGTTTTACAAAATCTCAGAACCCTTGTTAGAACTGGATCTAACCACAGAGTTCTTCAATCCTCTTTTCTTTCTTTCCTTTTTTTTTTTTTTTTAACAGCCGAGGCTCCAGAGACTAAAGTGTCTTGCCCACACTCTCAGAGGCATTAATTTTTAACATATGGCAGGTACCCTGAGCGCCACTTTGGGGCGAGGGGTACCACTGAACAGTTTGTATTAACCAGTACAGTTTCCATCGACAGCTGTGAGAGACCATTCGGCAAGTTAAGACTAATACTTTCGTATTTCAGAGCCTCCATGAGTTAAGGCAGACTAGACTGTGTGATTTTGCTCTGTTGAGTGTAGAAGGAAAAGAAACTGAAAAAAAAAAAAAAAAATGACTTTGAGCACATCATAGGCCAATTTTCAGCAATGAAAGCAAGAAGATGCACTGGTAATTTTCATGGGGTACTATAATGTGTTAAATAAAAGTTAGTGAGCTTGACTTGTATTTTTGAGCTGATATTATGGTAAAGTTATCTAAAAGATGGGTGTCAGATATTTGGACAGGTATGCAATTTAGTGCTTGCCGTAGGTGCTGTTGTCTATAGCTAGGTCTCTGCACAAGGAGCTCTGGTGGCACGGTGCTTAAAGCATTTGACTGCTAACCAGAAGGTTGGCTGTTCAAACCCACCTGCTCTGTGGAAGGAAGATGGGGCAACCTACTTCCATAAAGATTTGCCACCTCAAAAACCCAAAGGGCGTTATGAGTCGGAATCGACCCAATGGCAGTGAGTTTGGTTTGGTTTGAGGCCACTGCACACTCTTAGGGCTAGTTAGAGGCAGAGACAGAATTAGCACTCAGGTGTATGTTTCACACATACTGTTTTCTTGATAGAAATCTGATTTCAGCTGAAAGTTGTACAGAACTTGACCTTCATAAAACCCTCTCTGGATAGCATTCTTGGGAGTGGCTTGTGTATTGAGGTGTATTATTGGTCCCAACTGTTTTACTTGTCAGAATAGAGTTAAGCAGTAAATGTAGCTATGTAGAAAATTCCTGCTGAGATGAGACAGATATCTGAAATGGTTTTTATTTTTTTATTTTTACTTTCAATAGAGGAGCTAATTAACATTAATAACAATATCTTGGTCATTTTTAGATTTTAGTCTTGTATGCTAAATTGATTCAGTTAAAATTGTTCTTGTCCTGATATATTTGTAATCAGTAAACATTCCAAAGTGTAGCTTTCTGACTTGGTTTCATTTTTAACTAAATAGTTGCCTTAAAGACATTTCTTTATCTCAACAAAACTGCCCTCTTATACCGCTAAATTCTTCTGCTTCTCCCTTGGTAAATCTTTGAATTGGGTTTCAGAATTGAATAGAACTCAGATTTTTGTTTTATTTTCATCCCTTCCAAGATGCCTGGAATCTTTGTTTACGTCTATACTTAGGTTTACCTCGAGTTTCCCTTTTGACTAATAAACATATGACTCAAATCCAAACCTCAGCTGAGTGTAGTATCAGCTTAAAACCACAATAAACTGCCATGTGTCATGTGACCTCTATCAGCGCCACAAGTGGTGGTGGTCTGTTTTTCTTCATGAGAGCTTCTCATTAGGAGTTTTGAAATGTGAACATATTGTCTAGTGCATGTATTATAATATCCATGTATAACTGTCCAAGGTCATTCATTACTGGAGGGTTGTCACTAACATTTACTCATCATAACAGCATAGGTCTACCAACTCAGAATGTGGTTCCCAGTTTGCAGTTTACAGCCTTCACTACTTGGCATATTATCTCTTAAGAACAGGGATGCAGATATATAGCCATACTTAAATAGAAGATTCTTGGCTCTGTAGATAAGGAAAAACTGTTTCAGTGAAGGCTATATGTTTGTGCTCATCTGTAGTAGAAATGAAGACATATACACAAAACAACCCAATGCTGTTTTCTTAGGGCACATCCTTTGTTTTTCTGGTTTTGGTCTTTTCGTCATAGGATGGCATTAGCTCTGTGTCTGCAGGTGCTGTGCAGCCTGTGTGGCTGGCTCTCACTCTACGTTTCTTTCTGCCGCCTGAATAAACACCGAAGCTATGAGTGGAGCTGCCGACTGGTTACGTTCACCCATGGAGTCTTCTCTATAGGCCTCTCGGCTTATATTGGCTTCATTGATGGCCCTTGGCCTTTTACCCACCCAGGTAGGTGAAGGACCGTAAGGGATTTTTCTGTTAGGGATTTATGATTAGAAGTAGTCTGAGAAGGCTGGGGGAGTCCCTGAGTGGTACAAATGGTTAAGTGCTCAGCTGCTAACGAAAGATTAGAGGGTCAAATTTACCCAGAGGTGCCTCAGAAGAAAGTCCTGGCCATCTTCTGAAAAATCAGCCATTGAAAACCTGATGGAACATACTTCTACTCTGACACATGTTGGGTCACCATGAGTCAGAGTCAACTGCAAGGCAACTGATGGTAATTAGAAAGATGAGACTTCACAGACTTTGTACAATATTGAAGAATAATTCACATTATAATTTGCATTGGGAGTCTTTGTTTTTAATTTTTAAATCTGAAATTGTATATTTCACCTATTTCTGCTTTTCATAACTCTAATTTAAAAAAATTTATTGTGATGAAAATATATGTAACAATATATGCCATCTCAATAGTTTCTACATGTACAATTCAGTAACATTGTTTATATTCTTCAAGTTGTGCAGCCATTCTCACTTCCTTTTTCAAATCAGTCTGCCACCATTAACATAACCTCAAAAAAAAAAAAAACACCCAAAAGGGAGTTCTGGTGGAGTAGTGCCTAAAGCATTTGACTGCTAACTAGAAGGCTGGCGGTTCAAACCCACCAGCCACTCCTCAGAAGGAAGGTTGGGCAATCTGCTTCCGTAGAGATAACGCCTCAGAAACCCAAGGAGGGGTCGTTATGAGTCGAATTAACTTGAAGGCAGTGACTCAGTGCCCCTTAAACAAAAACTACCTCTTTCCCCCTCTCTCCCAGCACATAAACTCTCTTTTTAAAACAAATTTTAAATTGCTTGTTACAATTTAATCAATCAGAAATGTACAAAAGAGAAAACCAGTATCAATACTTTTCCTAAACCGACACAAATGGAACTGTAATATGCATACTTTTTGGTAACCTGCGATTTCCTGAATTGTATTTTCAAGAGCATCCTTTCCATGTCTGTGAATATTGTTGAGAGTGTGTGCTGTCGAATTAATACTGACTCATAGTGATCCTATGTGGTAGAGTAAACTGCCCTGTAGAGTTTTCTTGGCTATCATCTTTATAGGAGCAGATTGCCAAGTCTTTCTCCTTTAAAATTCCTGGGTGGATTTGAACCACCAACCTTTTGTTTAGCTGTTGAGTGCTTAATTATCTTTTAATTGTTGTATAATATTACGTTTATTAAATTTACTATTACTTATCCAACCAATGTCTTACTGTTTTAGATAACTATATTAATTTTTAAACTGCTAGATATACAAGTGTTACTTCATTGTTGTTAGGTATAGTTAAGTTGGCTCCAACTCATAGCGACCCCATGTACAACAGAATGCATTTCACTGTACTCTGTGAGCCTCACAATCCCTGCCATACCTGAGCCCGTTGTTGCAGCCACTGTGTCAAGCCATCTCATTGAGGGCCTTCCCCTTCTTCATTGCTTCCTTAATATACAAAAATTATACCCTAGAATATGATTTAAGAAAAATTCCTTTTTAAAATTTCCTTAGGTCCCCATATTGAGGTTCTTAGTTTTTCCCACAACTGTCAAACTGAAATGAAAGCAACTCTTAAGTTTTAAAATTTATATGAATGTTTTAAATGGATTTGAACATCTTGAGTCCCTGCACCCTATGTTCTTGGATATAAGAACACACTAAATTCTAGAGTTCTCCACCAGTGTCTAATATCCTAATTCATTAAGCTAAGAAATTAACTAACATCCAGGAGAGAATGACTCAAGAGTCTAGAAACAGACCTTTAGGTGGTTCAAAACAAAACAAAAACAGTGAAGGGTTTTAATTGAAAGAACAAAATAACTTGATTTTATTCTGTTCCATTGCGAGAACACTGAGATAATTGCCTGTGTTTAAATCACTCATTGAGGTCTGATTCATCAGGACAGCATTTCCTGGGCCCTGCAACCTCATTTGGTTAGGTAAAGACCAAGGTTTTCAATTTTGGTCTATTTTTGGGTGTCATTAAAAAGCATGTGTCTGCCATTGCTTTTGTCTTCTGTGATTCGGAAAGGTTTGAGAGACAACAACACCGGATCTCTGTGCAAGGTAGTACAATTCCCAGTCACTCAATTTGCATCTGTCTTGGTTTGTTCCAGGCTCGCCCAATACACCTCTCCAAGTGTACGTTCTTTGTCTCACCTTGGGCTACTTCATCTTTGACCTAGGCTGGTGCATCTACTTCCAGTCTGAGGGTGCCCTGATGCTGGCTCACCACACACTGAGTATCATGGGCATCATCATGGCCCTGGCACTTGGAGAGTCAGGCACAGAGGTCAATGCAGTCCTCTTTGGAAGTGAGATTACCAACCCTTTGCTACAGATGCGCTGGTTTCTCCGTGAAACAGGGCACTACCACAGTTTCACGGGAGACGTGGTGGACTTCTTCTTTGTGGCTCTGTTCACTGGAGTGCGGATTGGTGTAGGAGCTCGCCTCCTTTTCTGTGAAATGGTCTCCCCCAAACCCAAGTGGTTTGTGAAGGTTGGGGGAATAGCTATGTATGCTGTGTCTTGGTGTTTCATGTTTAGCATCTGGCGCTTTGCATGGAGAAAAAGCATCAAGAAGTACCATGCCTGGAGAAGCAGGCGGAGTGAGGAGCGGCAGCTAAAACATAATGACCTTCTCAAGACTCACTAGCCAAGGCTTGCTCCAGACCATGGATTGGGTTAAGTCAGCCATGGGAACCAGGTTGAAAACATAGCCATTATGGAATAGTGCTTATAATGAACTTAGGTTATAAAAAAGGGCTAAATTTATTGATCAGTTTGGTCAGTCTTCGAGCCAAGCCTATACTAGTATTAAAATACTAACTTCTGCAGTGGTACAGTTATATACAGTGAGTGGTAGTTGTAAACTGTAGAAGCATGACTATATACATTTTAGTTTGTGGTGACCCTGGGTCCTTTTATCCATGAGAGACTTGACATTCAGACAACTTAGAAAGGCAGTTGAGAAAAGTTAGTGCCGTATTGTCCTTGTTTCTTTGAGAAGTGACTCCTTCAACAAACACTTACTCCTGCTTTCGATGGAATAATTTACATAAGTTCACCCCATTTGCTATAAAACAAGGGACTTCCAGGCAGATACGATGCCTTTGGCATTCTGAGCATTGGATCAGGGAAGCTAAACTTGCCCTATGAATAAACAAAGGGGGCTAGAAGGATGGGAGAAGGATGAGGTGAAACTGTTGTGGGATACTTACTAAACTCCCCTTACCTCAGTTATGTCAGAAGTCCCCCAAAGCACCCCTAGATTCTATCATTTGTTAGGAGGACTCACAGGACTCAGCGTATAGTTATACTCGTGGCTGTAGGCTATGATTTAATACAGCAAAGTAATACAAAGGAAAATCAGCAAAGAGAAAATGTGTGTGGGACAAATACCAAGGGAAAGCAGACATAAGCTTCCAGAGTCTTCTCCCAATGGAATCACATAGGATGTGCTCAATTCTTCCAGCACTGTGTTGTGATAGTAAATGTGAAATGATGCCAACCAGGGAAGCTCACTAGAGATTCATTGACCAGAGTTTTTTATTAGGGTTAATCATGTAGGAACTTTTGCCTGGGACATATCAAAATTCTAGACTCCCAGAAGGAAAGCAGGTATTCTGTTTAAACCGTATTGTTTTTGTACAATTAGTTTAGGCACAGTAAGCTACTCTTACCAATGAGTGGTAGGAACCCTCCCAAAATCTTAAGTTCCCAGATGCTGGCCTAGGACCAACCTCGTAAGCAAGCCTAGAATCCAAAGATAGCAGTTCAGGCCTGTTATATTAACTTTTTTTTTTTTTTTTTTTTTTTGCACAAAAACCATATAGCTTGGGCTTTTGGATGCAGATTACTGAGTCCTGTTGTACAGGTTCTGCCCTACCAGGAAAACTGTATGCCAGTTCTCAAGACTTTTGTGCATTAATCTCTTAGGCATGAGAGGTTGTGACTAAATTCCATAGGGATTTACTATATGGATTCCACTGTGCTTGAGATGGCAGGTTAGGTTTCAGGTCTGCTGTACATACTGCAAACTAGAACCAAAGACTTTAAAGAATCTCTGTACATTTGCCTCAGGGTGATGAGGCTAACTTTTTTTGTTGTTCCTTTCAGGTTTATTCCCTTTTAGCCCTCTTACTACTTTTTCTTCCTCTCTTAAATGGTGCCACTGTATGGACAAAGTATTATGACAAGGCCCGTCTTAGAAGGAAAACGAGTATTTCTTAGTGTAAAGTCTCTGATCTCACCTACGAGGAGTGAAATATAAACTTAGAAAGGGGGTTAGTAATTAAGAATTTCTGGGTCATAAATTAATTTTGCTACTCACTTGCCAACTTATTTAGGAAGATCACTTGTTTACTCTTTGCCTCAGTTTAAACCCTGTTGTGAATGAATGAAATACGGCATTGTGTATTTCATAGAGGCACTGTGTGGCATTTTATCAATGAGAGTCCTTAATGTAGGGCTTTTATGGGAAAACGAAGCATTATTTATTTATTTATTGTTTATTTATTTAACTCTATTATTTAGATCAGTGGGTGATTAGCTTAGTGTGAGCAAGTGTGTGGTGCTATTGAAGTCCAGGCTGAAAGTCAGTAGGAAGTGTCAGTTCATTCCAGGGTCACTGGTAATACTAACATAATGAGTGGTCTTGAAAGTGGATGTCATTAGCCACAGAAACCAGGGGTGAAGGAGTGTTTGGAACCACATAAAGTCATCATTGCTATGGGAAAAGCAACTTTAAAGGCATGAGAACAGTGAGTCTTTTTATAATACTGGCATTTGGTTAGAGAGTTTTGCTAGGGATTGAAATAATCTGACAGACAGCCTCTCCACCTCTTTCTTTTGGTGATCAAACAAACACAACAAAAAGACTCATTACCATTGAGTCAATTCTGACTCATAGTGACCCTATAAGACAGAGTAGAACTGCCCCATAGGGTTTCCAAGGCTGTAATCTATGGAAGCGGACTGCCATATCTTTCTCCCTTAGAGCAGAGCAGCTGGTGGGTTCAAACCACGGACCTTCTGTTAACAGCTGAGTGCTTAACCACTATATCACCAGGGCTCCTTTTTCTAGGATCAGTATCCCTAAAATGCTGGTGAGTTTCTTTCCAACAAAATTGTGGTTGAAGAAGGATGCTGGGGAATGCTGATTTTTAGCAAAAGCCTAGTAAAAAAAAGAGTGGCTTGGCACATGAACTTTTTTTTTAAAAAAAAGAAAGAAAATGAAAAATAGCTGGCTGTTGAATTCTGGCACAATGCAACCTGTTCCATACCAGACAAATGAATAGGCTTAATCTCTTACCAGTTCTTATTTTTCTTTTAGGAAGGAAAAATACAATATTTTATTAAATTCGAAGGCATAACAAAATATTTAACCATAAAGTACATAAAGTTTGAAAAATGTTTAAGACAAAATATTAGCATAGCACAAAAGTTAATGAAATATTCTACAATGTGGTACGAGTTCTTTTCTCCTTACTCCTTAGAAGTGAAGGGTTTGCAGATCTTGCCATTTTGAGTTACTCTCATGGGAATGAATGTAGGATTTTTTGCATGATAAGAAACCTGAATAATTGGTAAGGGAAAGGGAATCTCTTATTTCAGCTTTATATGACGTTGTAGGGAGCTCTGGTAGTGTAGTGCCTAAGGCATTTGACTGCTAACCAGAAGGCCAGAGGTTCAAACCCACCAGCCACTCCTCGAAAGAAAGGTTGGGCAATCTACTTCTGTAGTGATACTGCCTCGGAAACCCAAGGAGGGGTCGCTATGAGTCAGGTCCGACTTGATGGCACATAACAACAACAACATGATGTTGTAGCTAATAACTATGAAGAAACCACCTCTCTGAGAGAAAAATGTGGCATTGAGATGACACAACAGTTAAGATGCTGAGTTTTTACATCCCAGGTAAATGAAGGGCTAATTAACTTGTGGTATGGTTGGATGAAATGAAGTATCATTTACATTTGGATTACTATGTAATAATTACTAACATCGCCCAAGAAGGATTTATATACAACATTTGTACTAAATTTTATAAAAATAAATGACTTTATATCAATCCAGTGTCTGCCTTTATATTTTTATTGTGGTTTTGACAAGAAGTGAAAAAAAAAAGGCTTTAGTCTACAGAAATGTTAACCCATATTTATACTTATCAGTGAAATACTTCTTGTCTATTGTTTGTCATCAACCAGTCCTACTAATCTTTATTTTGGGGGGCAGTTATCACATAAAAAAAGCAGTTTGCTGAAAGAGACCAAAAAAACCCACTAAAAACCCAAAACGAAACCCACTGCCATCCAGTCAATTCTGATTCATAGCAACCCTATAAGATAGAGTAAAACTGCCCCATAGTATTTCCAGGGCTGTAAATCTTTATGGAAGCAGACTGCCATATCTTCCTCTCACAGAGCTGCTGTAGGTTTGAATTGCCAACTTTGGATTAGGAGTTGAGTGCTTAAACACTTTGTCACCAGTGCTCTTTTACGAAAAGAACTTAATTTCTTTCTTATTTTGCCACCTGTTTGGGCAGTCCTTGAAAATGATATCAAATGAGCTCCATGAAGTGCATGAAGCTCTCTTCAGAACTCTTATTTCCATTGCTTAAAACGGTTAAAGGAACTCTGGTGGCACAGTGCCTAAGGCATTTAACTGCTAACCAGAAAGTTGGTGGTTCAAACCCACCAGCTGCTCTGCAGAAAGAAGATGGGGAAATCTACTTCCATAGAGATTTATTGCCTCGGAAATTCAGTGGAGGTGGCTATGAGTTTGAATCAACTCAATGGCAGTGAGTTTGGTTTTTGGTTTAGAACTGTGTTAAACATATAGTGTTTCGCTGCCATCAAGTTGGCCCCTGACTCATGGTGACTCCATGCAGAGCAGAGCAAAACGCCTCCTGGTCTTGAGCCATCCCATGATCAGTTGCAGATCGGATCACTGTAATCAATAGGTTTTTCATTGGCTGATTTCTGGAAGTAGATCAAGCCTTTCTTTCTAGTTTGTCTTAGTCTGGAAGCTCTGCTGAAACCTGTTCAGCATCATAGCAACACAAAAACCTCCAGTGACAGTGGTGCCTGTGCATGAGGTACACTGGCTGGGAATCAAACCTTGGTCTCCTGCATGGAAGGTGAGATTCTACCACTGATCCATTCTCTTGGACGTGTAGTAGGTTCTCCATAAACATGTTGAAATAGTGAATGAGATGAGAGTGTGTCCCATTTAGAAGGAATGAGGGTTTAGAATAAGCTCCATTAGAAAACCTCCAAAAGTATGTCCATGGATTCAATTACCAATGTCACTTTTCTGTGTAAAGGATTACTTGGCCCTGGGCTGGGGGTGGGGTGTTCTTACAGTGGCTTGACTCTTCTAAAGGCCTTGTATAGATAAAACCTTTACAGCAGTAGAGAACTACAGACAGCTCTAAGAGGCTTTCAGGGAGGTTTTTATCAGCTTTGTAGGTGAATATGGAGATATTCATCATTAAAAAAAAAAAAAAAAAACAAAACAAAAAAACAGTTCTAGAATAAATAACCAATGGTTTAATTAAATCCTTTGCTTACTATCTTCTGAAGCTTTCTCACAGCAAAATGCCTTCTTTCCTCACAGCTAGAACCTTGGGTCTGTTTAAGTTTGGAAAGATCTTGAAAGCAGCCTGCCAAGAGGTTTTGTATGCAAGGAAGAGAAGGTGAATTAGGAAACTTTCCCAGTTTGTTTTATTTCTAAAGCTCAAGTATTGAGGCATACTTGCAGGGAAGAGGGGAATTCATATTTCAAATGCATGATTTGATGAGTCATTCAGTCCAATTAATTTTATACTTACCCTGTAAAATTAGACTAGGGGAAAAATAAGATATCAAGTACATTTTAAAAAGATTAATTTTGGGACTAAAATTTGCGTTTTGGTTATTGTATGTTGTTATTATTGTTATGTGCCGTTGAGTGGGACCCGACTCATAGCGACCCCTCCTTGGGTTTCCGAGGCAGTATCACTACGGATCTCTGGTAGCCGTAGTGGCTAAGGCACTTGACTGCTAACCAGAAGGCTGGCGGTTCAAACCCACCAGCCACTCCTCGGA